AGCCTGACCTACTGAAGTATCATCAGAGCCCAACTGACTTGGGAGAAGGAAAATACCCTACTCCATGCCACTCTAGACAACCTGTCTCACCTAAGGAAGAAAGAAAAATATTGAAAACCACTTGTGAAGTTCACAGTTCAGAGACATAAACTCATTGAAAGAATTACAGGACTGTGGAGCCCTTTCCCTCCCCTAGACAGCATACACAGATTGACAGTGTAAACAAATAGGAATCCTAAGAATCAAATAGTAGAGATCAAAAAAAAAAAAAAAAAACCCACTGATACTAGATTGGACATGGCTGAGAAAAAAATTTCTGTGCTAGGGGGCATACTGATAGAATATTAAAATAAATGCTAATATGTGATAGAGATGTTAACTCTAATGCTGTTGTGGTAAAGATGGTATATAAATGTATCAAGTCAACATGTAATATACAAACTTACACAATATTATGTGTCAATTATATCTTAATTGTAAAAAGTAGAATTCTCAACCAAAAAGCAGAGGAAAGTAGGACTGAAAAAAACAACATCCAAGTATACCACTATAAAATGTGTGACATACACTTAAATGGGAGTGCCAGAAGAAGAAAAAAAGGAATAGAAGAAATATGTGAAACAATAATGACTAAGAGTTTCCCCAAGTTAATGTTCACACCAAATTACAGATTCAGGAAGCTCAGAAAACACTAAGCAAAATAAATGCAAAAACAACAACAAAAACCCACCTTAGTATTTACCATTTTCAAACTACAGAAAATCAGAGATAAAGAAAACCTGAAAGAAGCTAGAGGAAGAAAATACCTTACCTATAAAGGAACAAAGATAAGAATTACATTCATCTTCTCTTTAGAAACCATATAAGCAAGAAGAGATGGAGTAAATTATTTTAAATGTTGAGAGAAAAGAAGCTGGGATTCTGTATTTTGCAAAATTATCTTTCAAAGGATAAAGCCTTTAGCCAGGCTAACTAAGGAAAAAAGAAAAAAGAAACCAAAAAAGATAAATGACTACAGATAGAAGCAGAGGAAATACTTCCTAACTCATTCTGTGAGGCCAGTATTCCCCTAATACCTAAACCAGACAAATACAAGAAAACAAAACTACAGATCAATATCTCATGAACACAGCAGGAATGATCTTCCACAAGATATTAGCAAAATGAATCCAAATTAGGGGCACCTGGTTGGTTTAGTCAGCAGAGCATGCAACCTTTAATCTGGAGGTTGTGAATTGTAGCTCCAAATTGGGTGTAGAGATTACTTGAATTTAAAAAAAAATAAATCTTAAAACACACACTACAGCCAAGTAGGATTTGTCCCTAGTATGCAAAGCTGGTTCAACATTTGAAAGTTTATCACATCAACAGACTAAAAAAGAAAAATCACATGATCATATTGATAGATGCAGAAAAAGCATTGATAGAATCCAACTCCCATTCATGATAAAAGCTCTCAGTATACTAGGAATAGAGGGGATCATCCTTAGCTTTAAAATGCTACAAAAAATCTTACAGCTGACATAATGGTGAGAAACTGGAAGCTTCTGTATTAGTATCAGTGCTAAAAAGAAATAAGCTATCAAGCCATGAAAAGACCTGAAGGAACCTAAATGCATATTTAGGCTTAGATGTCCCTGCTTACCACTCCTTATCAACATTGTGCAGGAAATTCTAACTAATGCAGTTAAGACAAAAGGAAACAAAAGGTATACAGGTTGAGAAGGAAGAAATAAAGCTGTCGTTTTTCACTGGTAACATGATTATCAATGTAGAAAATCGAACAGAATGGACAAAAAATAGAAACTAACAATTATAGCAAGGTCAAAGGATGCAAGGTTAATATACCAAAGCTAATCACTGTCCTACATAATAGCAATGAACAAGAAAATTAAAAAAAATTTTTTTTAAATTTTTATTTATTTATGATAGTCACAGAGAGAGAGGCAGAGACACAGGCAGAGGGAGAAGCAGGCTCCATGCACGGGAGCCCGATGTGGAATTCGATCCTGAGTCTCCAGGATCGCGCCCTGGGCCAAAGGCAGGCGCCAAACCACTGCACCACCCAGGGATCCCTGAACAAGAAAATTTTGAAATTAAAAACAATACAATTTACAAAGCATCCCCTGCCCTGGGAGTAAAATACTTAAGTATGAATATAAGAAGATATGTACAAGATGTATATAAGAAAAACCTCAAAACTGATGAAGTAAAAGAATTTACTAAAAAAAAAAAAATGGAGAGCTATTCCACATTAATGGATATGAAGATTGTTGTCAAGATGTCAGTTCTTGTCAACTTAATGTATAGACACAGTGCATTTCCAATCAAGATCCCAGTAACTTATCTTGTGGATAGTGAAAAATTTAAGTTTATATAGAGAATTGAAAGACCCAGAATAGCCAACACAGTATTGAAGAACAAAGTAGGAGGGTTCAACCTCAAGACTTACTATAAAGCTCCAGTAATTGAGATAGTGTGGTATGGGTAAAAGAATAGACCAATTGATCAATAGAATATAATACAGAACCCATAAATAGACCCATGTGTGGTCAACTGATACTTGACAAAGGAGCAAAGGCAATACAATGGAGGCAAAAATAGTCTTAAATGGCACTAGAACAAGTGGATCTACATGCAACAAGTGAATCTAGAGACAGATCTTAAACCCTTTACAAAAATTAACTCAAAAAGTATCAGAGACCTAAATATAAATTTTTTTAAAAAATTAGGAAACTCCTGGAAGATAATGGGAGAAAACCTAAAGGACTTTGGGTTTGGGGATACCTCTTTAGATATAAACCAAAAGCACAACCCGTGAAGGAACTGGTAAGCTGAGCTTCATTGAAGTTACAAACTTCTGCTCTGCAAAAGACAATGATGAGAGAATAACACAAGCCACAGACAGAGCAAATAAAGGACAATTATCCAAAATATACAAAGAACTCTTAGAATTCAATGATAAAATCTGATTTGAAAATGAACCAAAGACTTAACAGACACCTCAACAACAGATACACAGATGGCAAATAAACATGACAGATGTTCTACATTATACATCATCAGGGAAGAGCAGTTTAAAATAAGATACCACTACACACCTATTAGAATAGCCAAAATCCAGAAAAATGGTAGCACCAAATGCTAACAAGAATGTAGAATAACAGGAACTCATTCATTGCTAGTTGTAATATAAAATGGTACAAACACATTGACGACAGTTGGATGATTTCATACAATACTAAGCACATTCTTACCATACAATCCAGCAATTACACTGCTTAATATTTACCCAAAGGAGTTGAAAATTTAATGTTCACACAAAAGGCTGCAAACACATTTATAGCAGCTTTATTCATAATTGCCAAAACTTGAAAGCAACCAAAATGAATTTCAGTAGGTGACTGGATAAAACTAGCACCTCCAGACAATGGAGTATTATTCAATGCTGAAAAGAAATGATCAAGCCATGAAAAGACATTCAGGAACATATATGGCATTCTGGAAAAGGCAAAACTCTTGAGATAGTAGAAAGATTAATGGTCGTCAAGGGTTTGAGGGTGGTGATAGTGACAGGGAAAGGATGAATAAGATAGAGCACAGAGGATTTTTAGAGCATGAAAATATACCATGGATACATGTCATTATACATTTGTCTAAGCCCACAGAATGTGCAACACCAAGAGTGAGGTATAATGTAAATTAGTGTCTTTGGGTGATAATGATGTGTAAATGTAGGTCCATCAGTGATACCACTGTCCAACAAATATACCACTCTGCTGGGGATGTTGATAATGGAGGCTAGCAGAGAGGGCAGCCCGGTGGCTTAGCGGTTTAGCGCCGCCTTCAGCCCAGGGCCTGATCCTGGAGACCTGGGATAGAGTCACACGTGCCTGTGTCTCTGCCTTTCTCTCCCCCACCCACCCTGTCTCATGAATAAATAAAATCTTTAAAAACAAACAAACAAGCTCCTACAAAAAAAAAAAAAAATTTGCTGTGAACCTTAAATTGCTCCAATCAAAAAAAAAATAATTATCATTGCTGACTATATGCCATTATAAACAAGACTGATGCAGTAGTAGATAAGTAGTAGACTAGAAATTAGAAGAAGCTGTGTTCAAATCTTTTTTTTTTTTTTATCACTTGTTCTGGTACCCTTAGAAAAGTCACTTAGTATCTCTGAGCCTTCTCTAGGAGACTATTCCTTGTGACGTTATGGGAATCATATGGCAGACATGAAGATTTTTTTTTTAAACTAGCAGGGCAAATATCAAGGGCTTAACTATTAAGATATTAAGATAATGACTTAAGAGGTAACCATTGATTCTTAATAAGGAAACATTAAGAGGTAACCATTGATTCTTAATAAGGAAACATCTTGTGTGTGCTATGGGATTAATTATAGGAATGAAGAAAGTAAACTGCTGTACATAAGAGAAGTACAATAATAGTTGTATGCTTAGAAAACTCCAAAAAAGGGAGTGATACCTTTTTGTACGAATGGAAATATTCATGAAAAAAATTTAAGAGAATAGTACTAAGGCAAGTTGACTTGACTTTGAGTGTAGGAATCTAGCAAATAGAATGAGAATACAGCAAATCTATAGAGACTGGAATATTTGTTAACAGAGAATTTAATGTTTTCTGCAAACAGGTCACATTTTATTTATGTATGTGTGTATGTATTAATTGGAGTTCAATTTGCCAACATATAGCAGAACACCGAGTGCTCATCCCGTTGCCCCCCTCAGTGAACAGGTCATATTTTAGAGTACAAATGGAATCTGTGGCTGAAGGAAGAATAAACTCTTCCTGATTCTAGTTTATGTCAGACTTATTTCTGAAATAACCTAGAGGGAAATAATATATATTTCTTAAGGTTTAATAGGAAAAAAAGCTTAGTCTGTCTTTATGTTCACTTTTCTAAATTACATGATTTTGTTTATGGTTGAGCCTTAGCTTTTGATATTATGTATGATATGTCTGCTTTTCTTTTCTAGAAGCCACCAGTGTCCAACAGAAGGTCAATTTTTCTGAAGGAGGTATTTTCTTTTAAAATATTCTAAATCTTTTTTTTTCCCTATTAACATGAGCAATTTTGACAGGTACTTCAGAGAGAGGAGAAAATAGTGTGTTTTTCTTCAGAAAAACAAAAATCCATGCCTGCCTGAACTCATAATTGGGCAGGTGAAATAGGATAGAGTGAGTGATGATAACCTTTTTATGAATTTTAAGGATCTTTTTTCTGAGTTACCAGTTAGTAAAGCTAATAAACGATTCTGGCGTATTCTGGCCTTTGATTATGGTATTAATCATTTTTTCCAAATTCTCATAATCAGTCTATGAATAGCACAATAAAATCTAGTCCCTTTTAAAGCCCACCATAATCTAAGGGTGACCTGCATACTGAAATGTTTATATATGGGTGTGTGTATACCTCCTTTCCAAAACACAGATGGACACATGTAAGCACATGTGTGTGCATATACTAGTCTTGTCTGAATTTACATGCAACATGTAGTTCCCTTCATAAGGTAAAATTTTTCCGCTATTTAACACTCATTGTTTACTCTTCAACTCTACGATAAAGCCTCGATATAATGTTGTAGATACTACTCTGAATATTTGTTTGAGATAGAATTATGTGCTTCAGAGAACAGTAATAAGCTCGGTTTTAGCTTATATGAAAAACTGTGATCCAGAATAGTAAACATAATAAATAGCAATTCTATATCTGATAATTAGAGAGGCTTCATTTTAATGTTTAATTATTTGTTTTTTAATTTAGATCTTCAGAGAATTAGAATAGACTATATACTAGTGTCTTATTTACTTCTTTTTAGGAGAAACTGAACAGGATGATCAAGACAGCTCTGACAGTGATATTACTACTAATAAGATCAGATCCGGGGATTCTCTTGATTCTGCAGGTAACTTTGCTTTATATACATATGACTATATCTTAGGAGCTGTCTTTTTAGTTAAAATATAAAGGTATTTTGTAAAATAAATAAATAAATAAATAAATAAAAAATAAAGGTATTTTGTGAATATGCTTTTTAAAATACTGCAAAGTATTTTCCTTATAATGACTTTTTAAAAAGCTGTATACTTTTTAAATATTTATTAAAATTACTGATTCCATATGTGCATCCGATTAGTACTGTAATGCCATGTAATATCTAAACAAGTCACTCTTCAGCCTACTTTGATTATGTATGGAATATAAGATATTTTGGGGGCTTAAGAGAGTTATTTGTAGTTTTTTAAAAAAAATTATAGAGAGGGGCACCTGCGTGGCTCAGTCAGTTAAGCGTCTGACTTCAGCTCAGGTCATGATCCCAGGGTTCTGGAATTGAGCCCCATGTTGGGTTCCTTCCTTAGTAGAAAGTCTACTTGTCCCTCTCCCTCTGCCTGTCCCCCTCCTTGTGTACTGATGTGCATGCATATATGCGCGCTCACTCTTTCTCTCTCAAATAAAATCTTTTTTAAAAATTTAAAAATCTTAGAGAAACTGATCTCATTGGCAGTTATACTCATTACACTATTAGGAATGTTAGCACAAAAAAAAAAAGGAATGTTAGTTAGCTTTTAGGAAGTTTTTATATACCTAGATAATTGCTTTTACCCCTGGATTGTCCAGATTAACCCCAGATTAGTAATAACCATTTGATTATTCATGTGAATCTGTGTTTTATTAAAGGGAAGAGTTGACTGAAGAGAAAAAATAATACCAATTGAGGCTTAAGAGGATGCTGAACCAATTTGTAAACTCTGTCAGTTATGAATAATTTTAAATTTTAGTCCTATGAAAGAGTAATTCTCCACTTTAGTCTCACCACTTTTTTTTTTTTAAGTCTCACCACTTTTTGAGAATTTCCATAATTCCTGTTTTACTTCATCATTCCATTTTAAAAATAAGCTCAAATCTGGTTTATGGGCATTGAGTATTCTTTATATTTCCCACCCTTCCTCATTTTCCCCCATTCTTTCTTGATACAGAAATACCAAAGAAGTTATGCACCATTTTAGCATAGTGGTTAAGAACATGGGCTCTTGAGCCAGAATCGCTGGGTTTTACTCCTCTACTACTAGGTTTGTGCCTTCAGGCCATTATTTAACTTCTGTGTTCCTCAGTTTCCTCATTTGGGGTTAAATTAACCTCATTAAGAGGTTAAATTCATTCACATGTGCAAGCACCTAGAAAGTACCTGTCATGTAGAAAACACTTAAATTAAGTGTTCTTATTAGTTTTGGTATATGTATACACAAAGCTCTAAAAATGAGAGACTGATTAAGCCATTCATATAGCCAATAGTTTAATGCCATTGTTACCAGCTTATAGCTCTTTGAAACTACATAAACCACAGGTTCTGTGATCCCTTTAGAATTCTAATAAATTTTCTTTTTTAAAAGATTTTATTTATTTATCCGTGAGAGATACAGAGAGAGGCAGAGAAATAGGCAGAGGGAGAAGGAGGCTCCCTGCAAGGAGCCTGATGCAGGACTCAATCCCAGGACCCTGGGATCACGACCTGAGCTTAAGGCAGATGCTCAACCACTAAGCAACCCAGGCGCACCTAAAATTCTATTAAATTCTTAGTGAAGCACACACCTGCATGCAGAAGAAAACTCTAAAGAACAAAAAGAGGAGCATGTTAAGAAGAATATAAATCTTCCTAGATTATTTTCTGGACTAATTATCAGTGAAGAGGTACAAGAAGAAACAAGTAAAAGGGAAAAAAAGAGAGAGAGAAAGAGAGAGACGCAAACCAAGAAACAGACTCTTAACTATAGAGAACAAACTGATAGTTGCAAGGGGGGTGGGAATGAGTGAAACAGGTGATGGGGATTAAGGGGTATACTTGCTGTGATGAACACTTGGGATTGTATGGAAGTACTGAGTACCTTAATTCTACCCCTGAAACTAATATTGTACTGTATGTTGACTAACTGGAATTTAAATAAAAACAAAACAAAAAAAAATCCATTGCAATGCAGGAAGAAAATATTAGAATTTTATGTATATCTATATTTATTTCATCCACTTAAGATGTCTATTTTTGTTTTATAATGCAACACATCAGTTAATATATTTCAGTAGTACATGTATATAATACATTTTAGAGATGGATGTTCAAATTTTTTTAGTAATAGGAATATGGTAACAAAAATATTTAGCTACCACCCCTGAATGTGTCAAATCCTTCTGCTTCCAAGGTAACAATCCGATCACTTTTGAACAGATTTAGTTATGATTTCCATTTTTATATGAAAACAAGTTTTTAAGGAAGAGTAGACTAAAATATATAATGTATTGACCACTTACAGGAAAAGTTTGAGACAAATGGATATTAATGATTTCAAGAAGATCCATTATGAACCTTAAAAATGTTCCCCAACTCAAAGCTTTTATTATCTCCCTTACCTCATGCTATGTTCTATGTCTTACATTTTTTTTTGCTTTAGAAAGTCATTAGGGAAAAGAGATAATTAAATAGTTCATTATTTTTTAGGTACAACATAACTCTTTAGAAACTTTTTAAAAATAAATTGTGCCCCCAAGTGTTGAATTCCCTGGAGTTTTATGGAATACTTTTGCTCTTTTGATTACACATTGTTCTCTTATAAAAATATGCATTTAAAAAGTATAATATACTTTATAGTGTACTATGTCTATTTTTGTTGTTGTTTTTTTAGATCAAACCACCAGATTATCAAGTCAATATCCAGAATCTTGGCAGTCATCACAAAGTAAGTAAAACCATGTCTTAAACTCTTAAAAGTCTGTGTGTGGTGTCAAATTATTTATTTATTTATTTATTTTTATTATTATTATTTTTTAATTTGTGATAGTCACACAGAGAGAGAGAGAGAGGCAGAGACATAGGCAGAGGGAGAAGCAGCCTCCATGCACCAGGAGCCTGACGTGGGATTCGATCCCAGGTCTCCAGGATCGCGCCCTGGGCCAAAGGCAGGCGCTAAACCACTGCGCCACCCAGGGATCCCCAAATTTTTTATTTTTTGAAGATTCTGTTTTCCTATTTAACATGAAGTTTTGAAAAAGAGGTATAGTGAATAAAACTCATCCAGCATCTTGAATTTGCTTCAACCCTGTACCCAAGCTTGAATTTGAATTTAAAAAACAAGAATCTGGGCAGCCCGGGTGGCTCAATGGTTTAGCACTGCCTTCAACCCAGGGTGTGATCCTGGAGACCCGGGATTGAGTCCGACATTTGGCTGCCTGCGTAGAGCCTGCTTCTCCCTCTGTCTGTGTCTCTGCTTCTCTCTCTCTCTCTCTCTCTCTCTGTTTCTCATGAATAAATAAATAAAATCTTTAATAAATAAAAATTAAAAAGAATCTGCATTCCATGACTTGTTGAATGTCCCTTGCTTCTCATATAAATTTGTTAGTGTTTTTAGTTTAACTTAATGTAGTTTGAGCCTATTTACATGGATATATTCTAATAAGGATATAAAATTTCATATATAGTATGATCTGAGCTCTAATACGAAAGTTTGGAAGATTGGAGGTACCTGGGTGGCTCAGTCGGGTAAGCATCTGCCTTGGGCTCAGGTCATGATCCTAGGGTCCTGAGATGGAGCCCCACATCAGGCTCCCTGCTCAGTGGGGAGCCTGCTTTTTCCCCCTCCTCCCCACTTGTGCACTCTGGCTTGTGCTCTCTGTCACTATCTCTGTCTCTCTCTCCAATTAATAAATAAAATCTTTAAAAAAAAAAAAAGCTTGGAAGGTTGAATAAATAAATAATAAACCAAGGTACAGAAAAAGTTAATGGTAAGCTAGGTAATAGGTATATAAAAATCTTACAGCCTTGCTTATAGTCTCGAAAATTCTCACTATGTTGAGAAAATATAACAAAAGGTTGGAAAGTAATATATTAAAGTGCTAATAACAATGATTTGTTTAGGATGGTAGAATAATTGGTGACATTTTCCTTCTGTATTTGGCTGATTATCTACAGTGGATATGTATTTTCTTAGGTTAAGCAGAAATGATACAGTTTTTTCTTTTTCATTTTTAAATCAAGTCCCAGGGATCCCTGGGTGGCTCAGCGGTTTAGCGTCTGCCCAGGCCTGATCCTGGAGTCCCAGGATCGAGTGCGACGTCAGGCTCCCTGCAGGGAGCCTGCTTCTCCCTCTGCCTGTGTCTCTGCCTCTCTCTGTGTCTCTCATGAGTAAATAAATAGAATGTTAATCTAAAATAAATAAATAAATCAAGTCCCAGAATTTGAGTTAATTATTAATCAACCTAAAATATCCTTGTATATGAAATATACAGGGACTTTTCTTTCCACATCACCTTTTTTGAAATATGAGATTGTTTTTAAAGAAAAAGTCTTTGGAAATCTGTTTTGTAATCATTGTGTTTATAGAATTCCACTCTATTTCACTTTATATATATTTAGTTTTTAGAAGGTTCTGGGTTTGAACTTAAAACTGATAAAAGCCACTGAGACACAAAAATAAATCTTGTGGAAAATTACTTGCTGAATCATCTTATATGTTTGCCTTTTGTTATTCTAAATCTTTGATTTTTGGAAGCTCTTAAAAGTATCTCGCTATATAAATTATGCTACATGCATAGAGTGGAATAATTTTTAGTTATGAAAAATGAATACTTTGTATACTAATGAATAGATGATCAAGATATATGTCCTCAAATCTAAGATGCCATTATTTTATGTATTACTAGAAAAACCATCTAGTTAAACTATGACATATCTTTGATTATAAGATACAGCCCTAAGTCAGAGGTGTTTTTTTAAAAAGTATTTCTTGGGGTTCCTGGGTGGCTCAGTCTGTTAAGGGTCTAATCTTGGTTTTGGCTCAGGTCATGATCTCAGGTTTGTGGGATCAAGCCCCCTGTTGGGCTCTGTACTCAGCAGAGTTTATTTGATGTTCTTTTCTTTTCCCTCTCCTTCCCCTTCTGCCCTTCCCTGCCACAGGTACACATGCACTCTCAAATAAATAAAATATTTTTTTAGAAAAAGTACTTATTTAAAAGCAACGAAACACATTTTAAGAAGCATGTATCTACTTTTTTAAAAAGTACTTTGTTGATAGAGACTGAGAACAAATCTGAAAGAATATTCCTGTGTCTTATTTACCATGGTATTCCTGCATGTAGTAGGCACTCAATAGATATTTATGAATTTTTAAGTCAGATATTTCTAGAACGTTGAATTTCTTTTCTTTTTTTTTAAAGATTTTTATTTTTATTTATTTATTCATGAGAGAGAGAGAGAGAGAGAGGCAGAGACACAGGCAGAGGGAGAAGCAGGCTCCATGCAGGGAGCCCGACGTGGGACTCGATCCCGGGTCTCCAGGATCCTGCCCTGAGCTGAAGGCGGCGCTAAACCATTGAGCCACCCAGGCTGCCCCAAACGTTGTATTTCTTTTACAACAAGCATATATTGCATTTGTATACAGAAGAAAAATTGAAAATTTACAGTGACACTTGTACTGATGGGTAGAACAGTAACTTTAGGGCAGATTTGATTTACTTTGCTATAATTGTTTGAAATTCATTTCTAATCATCCCATTGTATTCCTTTTACAGTTGTCCTTAGATACCATTTCAAAAGAAAAAGTAGCATCTTTCATAACAACTTTGAAATCTCTGCAATATTGCTTACATAGTATATATTAACATATATGACACCCTGAGTTTATATCTTATCCCTACTACCTCTAGATATGTAATCTTGGGCAAGTGATCAATTTCAGTGTCCTTATTTATAAAATAGAAATAATGGTATCAATCACATAAAGTGTGAGAATTAAGTAAAATTATACTTCATACCTGGTAAACATTCAGTACATACAACTATTATTTTTGATGGACTTGATCCTAAAATTGACTTATTATCCAATACTTGGATGGATACTTTGAAGTTTAGAAAAGAGAAAAAAAAAATGAATATAATGCATATGTTTGGGACGGCTGAAAGAAAGGTCTGATTTTTGTGGAGATTTTTTTGGTTTATAGTATCCATAGTATACAAGTAAAATGTCTGTGCAGTATCATCACTGTTCTTATTTCCAAGTATTGTATGAGCCTATCTCTGTTTTTTTCTTGTAGGTCGAAACTTCAAAACTTTTGATAAGCAAACTTCTGTGCTAAGTAAGTGATTGGTTGTCTGTTCTTTTATCAGTCAAGCAATTTTGACTTTGTCAAATTTAGATTTGAATAGGATTTAAGTTAAGTTTATTTTGCCATTTTTGCCTTTTAATCCCACCACACATTGGTACCAAACGTGTAATTATTCTGTGATATGGAAATGCGTTTAGGACTTTTACCTAAAGTAACTTATTTGCAAGAATAAATGATTGTTTTTTTTCTTCTTAAATAATATTGAAATTAAGTTCAAGTATTATTGAACTCAGTCATTCTCAGACCAGAACAAAGGACTTGTACATAGTTTTGTCTATTAGATGATTGTATTTTTATTTGCTGCCTGTTTTGCTGTAAGTAGTGGCTCATCCTTTACTGGTGTGATCCTTTAACCTTATCTTTTACTTCTGAACCTATTGCTTTTGTTGTTTTCCCCAACTTTGTTTTGGCTTTCTGATAGAATTACCTTGTAAATTTGTATGGTATATGTTTTCAAGGTTTGTGAAATGATATATGATATATGTATTTATATGTATATAAATATAAATATATCTATATATATGTATGTATGTATTTGCTTCAGGCTCAGCATATCCAAAAGAAACTCAGGAATGGTTTGAACAAACCACAAGAATAAGAACTACAACGCAAAGTAAGTTGATAAATCTCTACCTGTTACTGAAGTAATATAAAGTTTATTTGCTGTTTTTCTTTATTATTCAATATAGAAAAATATTCAGTTTTTGAGACAGGCATTTAGATTGTGATTTCATTAATAAAGAACAGCTATGATTACTATTTATTCCATCTGTTTGGAATAGCAGGAGATGGTCTGACTCTAAAGTGTAAATAGTGGTGTGAGAAAGCCAGTGAATGGGGATCCCTGGGTGGCTCAGCGGTTTGGCGCCTGCCTTTGGCCCGGGCACGATCCTGGAGTCCTGGGATCGAGTCCCGCGTCAGGCTCCCTGAATGGAGCCTGCTTCTCCCTCCTCCTGTGTCTCTGCCTCTCTCTCTCTCTCTCTCTCTCTCTCTCTCTCTCTCATAAATAAATAAATAAATAAATAAATCTTTAAAAAAAGAAAGAAAAGAAAGCCAGTGAATGATGGGTATAGACTTCACAAGTTGTCAGTTCTGTCTAGCAGCAGTCCAGTCCATACATAATCATGAAATTCTACTCTATTGACAGTACCTATTTTTTATTTGTAGCAGACTTGTTTACCCACTTAGAGCAACTCTCTTTGCCCACTATATTAAGTAATAAAGTATGAAATCTACAAATAGTATATTCATGTTTAGGATGGATTAAATGTCACAGAATTTAAGAAATATCATAGATAGATGTGGTGAAGTAATCATGCTTTGAATTCAGTATCTATCATAATTTCTGTAGCTGTGTCCACAATAAATTTTGGCTCTGTTTAAAAAAAAAAAACCTTAACCTTTATCCCTTCTTTACTCATCTAATCACAATAAATATCAAGATCATTAGGTATTCCCTTTTATTTAGATAATATAAAAATCCCTATCACATATCTCTTGCTCAAGAAGTGACTAACTGTAGGGGGATACCTGGCTGGCTCAGTCAGTAGAGCATGTGACTCGATCTCAGGGTTGTGAGTTCAAACTCCATGTTGGATGTAGAGATTACTTAAAAATAAAACCTTAACAAAAAAGGAGGGGGGGGCAAAATGACAGACTGTAATAAGACAAGATTATTTTGTGATAAACAAATCTCTATAGCTTTTATTTTTCCATCAGCAAAGTAGTGATGGTCACAATTCATTCTTTTCCACCAGTGAAGTTTTTTCCCACATGTGAGTTCTTCAGCTGTCTAAAACTGAAATAACATTCTGTCATTGCTTTATTGTTGGCTGTCATATTTATTTATTTATTTATTTATTTATTTATTTATTTATTTATTTATTTATTTATTTATTTATTTTTCAATTTGCCAACATAGAGCGTAACACCCAATGCTCATCCCATCAAGTGCCCCCCTCAGGGCCCATCACCCAGTCACCCCAACCCCCGCCCACCTCCCTTGCCACTACCCCTTGTTCGTTTCCCAGAGTTAGGTGTCTCTCAGTGTTAGCTGTCATTCTTAATGGTTGTATGTACCTTGCTATCAGAAAACCATTTCTTCTTACACTTTGCTCTTTCTGACCTATTGTAATTAGGAAGGCAAATATTAATTATTTAGCTTAGTAGGATTATATTTATAAAAAGTATCAAAAATTAAAGCCAGCTGGGTGGCTCAGTTGATTAAGTGCCTGAGTCTTAACTTTGACTCAGGTCATGATCTCAGGGTTGTAAGATTGAGCCCCAAGTCAGGCTCTGGGCTGGGTGTGGAACCTGCTTAAGATTCTATCTCTCTCTGCCCCCTACGTCTGCACTGTTCTCTCCCTCCCTCCATTTCTCGAAAAAAAAAAAATTTAAAACTTACTTTGTAGATCTGAGAAATAAACTCTCAGAAGCAAAAATGGATGAGTTTAAGTATATACACTATGAAAAGCTCAGAGACTTTTTATTTCTTAGTTCTTAACTATACATTCTGGGTAATTAATAACAGATAAATTTCTTCCAGATAAGTGAAGTATAGTACACATTGTCACCAAAAAATGTACCATTTTTATTTCCTCTGATAAGACACTGCAAATGCAAAGCGAAGGGAAAATAATTATATTAAAGATCTGATTGGAATGTAGAAATAGATAAATTGATAGCTAAGTCTTAGTACTTTATCTGTTTGCATCCCTATTTTGTCTTAGTGTACTTATTAAGACTTAAATAACTGTATACTGATTAATAGCCATCTACCATATAGAGAGAACTTTGAGAGTTATATAGAAATTACATACCAGAAATTTGCACAGTAAGGTGCAGATAACAGAATTTTTTAGACCTTTAACCACATGAGGACTAAGATAAAAACAGTGAGGGGATCCCTGGGTAGCTCAGCAGTTTAGCGCCGCCTTTGGCCCAGGACATGATCTTGGAGTCCCGGGATCGAGTCCCGCGTCGGGCTCCCGGCATGGAGCCTGCTTCTCCCTCCTCCTGTGTCTCTGCCTCTCTCTTTCTCTCTATATATCTATCATGAATAAATGAATGAATGAATACATAAATGAATAAATCTTTAAAAAAAAGATAACAGTGAACAGTGAAAAAATATTTTCAATAAAAGTGGAAGACTGCAGTGTTGTCATACAGCCTTATAGATTTCTCTCTTTCTTTTCTTTCTTTTCTTTTCTTTCTTTCTTTCTTTCTTTCTTTCTTTCTTTCTTCTTTCTTTCTTTCTTTCTTTCTTTCTGATTTTAGTCATGAGAGGCAGAGAGACAGAGACATAGGCTGAGGGAGAAGCAGGCTCCCTTTGAGGAGCCAGATGTGGGACTTGATCCCATGACCCTGGGATCAAAGGCTCAACCACTGAGCCACCCAGTGCTCCTAGATTCCTTTTCAATCCAAAATCATCTAAAAAATTGTTTGCTTGGCATTCTGAATTTCATAGTTCATTAAAGTTACATTTCTGCTTGCTTTAGTGAGAAAAAAATTCAGTTTTAGATTTAAGTGTTCAAGAATCTGGGATTTAAAAAAAAAATCTGGGATTTTAGGTCCTTATTGTCACCCAATGTTAGCACCAGTTCCCAGGTAGATAGATTCCAGTTTGGGTTTCTGCCTGTGTTCTAACCTTTTGGGGAAGATGGTACGACTGTCTATTTTTCCTATTTTCCAGTGTAATGATCAATGATAACAACTATGAAAGATTCATGCCATCCGCTCTTGACTTTTACAGAGTAATTGTTACTGTTACTCTTCAGACTAGAAAACCTCGAGCTTTATCTTTTAAAAAGTGGTGTGTGTGTGTGTGTGTGTGTGTGTGTGTGTGTGTGTGTTGTTTAAGGAATTTGTCACTATTTCTAATAATATTTTTAATAAGAGGGATAGAAATGATCTCTTAGAGAATGCTCACCTGAGCAATTTATAGCCTGTTAAGTTTGTTTGTATTCTGTGAATTTTATAAATATTACATGTTATATAATAACTTATTGAGCTATTATTCATCATTAAAATCATCATAGAAGAACACTTTCCAGAATTTTCATATATTATCTCATTTGATCTTTGCAACAAGGAGTAAGCTATTCAAGATAAGCATTATCTTGATGGATTTTTTTTCTAAGATAATTTTTCATACGGTCTTTCACTGTAGGTTCCTCTACTTGCCATGCTCATATAATAACTTTTTTAGTCCTTTTATTGAGGTATGATTGGCATACATTTAAAGTATACAACTCGATGTCTTTGGAGATCAGTATGCATCTTAAAAACCATAACACAATCAATGCCATAAGCGTATCACCTCCAAAAGTTTCCTCCCACCCATTTATTGATTGATTGAGTGAGTGAGTGTGTGTGTGTGTGTTTGTATGATAAGAGCACTTAACATAAGTTCTGTATTTGTAAATACACAGTAAAGTGTTGTTAGCTATAGGTCCTATAATTTATAGTAGATTTCTAGGACTTTTTCATCTTGTATAATTGAAACTTTGTACCCTTTAATACCTCCTCATTCCCCCCCTTCTCCCTCAACCACCATTCTACTCTCTGCTTCTGTGAATTGACTATTTTAGATTCTGCACAAAGTGAGTTGTCTGTCAGGACCTACAACTCTATAGTCTTATATGATGCAAAACATTGTAGATTTTATATGTATTATTAACACTTGACATTAAAGTGTTAATTGATAATTAACTTGATAATGTGAAAAAGGAGTATTTATTTACAGGTATAATGATTCATGAATTGATAATGAAGAAGCAGCATGTTTTATGGTAGCCTAGGATAGTTGATTTGATCGCTTCATAGTAGCCTAACCTATACACTAATAAATGGATCATTATAAAGCTTCCATAGCATACAGTATTATAGTCATATTCATGACACAGTATTGGGAATGTTGTTTCTTTTTAAAAAAACATTTACCTGTAATGATAGGCTGATAGTTTCTCTGGTTACTAAAGAGAAAGGTATACAGTATCCTATTTCCTTAAAAGCAAAGTAATGAAACAGTAAGAAAACTGACATTATTAATTTTATATTAAACATCACTCATATGCCTATATAAGGATAGGCTATCCTCTTCTATATGTAAGTCTTGCACACAATGCTCTACACAATGAATACTTGAAAGAGAAGATGATAACACAAAAACGTCTCCTACAATTCTTGCCATACAAGTATTAGATTTTTCACACTAATACAACAGATAGTTCATTAACTGTACAGCATGATGCTTATTTACTGTTCATTAAGTGGGAGTGCATCGTCATAAAGGTCTTCAACTTTGTCTTCTTTGTATTGAGTAGGCTGAGGAAGAAGAGGAAGGATTGGTCTTGCTGTCTTAAGGGTGGCAGAGGCTGAAAAGATGGAGAATGTGGAAGGGGAGGCATGTTCCAAAATATGTGATTTCTGTCTGACTTTTTTTTACCTTCTCATGTCTCTGAAAAATGTGTCTATATGGTACCAACTGTCTTCCACCATTTCCTTTAGTTTCAGTGCCTCTGTCATGAAAGGGTCCATGTTGTAAAAGAAGTTGAAGGCAGTCTTAAAATTGGAGTCCTTCTGCCAGATTATCTAATGTCAGTCTTTTTTTTCTGGCACTGCTTCTTCTAGGTCTTCTTCCTCAGTTCAGGAGCACTCATCTCTATCAAGTCATCTTCTCTTAATTCCTCTGGTGTGTCTATTTGCTCTTGAGTTTCTCTTAGATCCATATCATTTTTTTTAATTCCAGTATAATTAGCATACAGTGTTATATTAGTTTTACATGTACAGTATAGTGTGACTCAGCAGTTACTCAGTTTATCAAGGTAAGTAATACTCTTAATCCCCTTCACCTGTTTCACCCATCCTCCTACCCATCTCCCCTCTGGTAACCATCAGTTTGTTCTCTATATTTAAGAGTCTGTTTTTTATCCTTTTTCTTTTGTTTGCTTTCTTTGTTAAATTCCACATATGAGGGCAACCCCTGTGGCTCAGCAGTTTAGCGCCACCTTAAGCCCAGGGCGTGATCTGGAGAACCGGGGTCAAGTCCCACTTCGGGCTTCCTGCATGGAGCCTGCTTTTCCCTCTGCCTTTGTCTCTGTCTCTCTCTCTCTCTGTGTGTGTCTCTCATGAATAAATAAATAAAATCTTTAAAAAAAAAAAAGTTCCACATATGAGTGAAGTTATATGGTAGTGGTCTTTCTCTGATTTATTTCACTTAGCATTTTACCCTCTAGATTCATCCATGTTGTGCACATGGCCAGATTTCATTCGTTTTTATACACACACAGACACCACATCTTCTTTATCCATTCATCTATCAATGGACACAGACTACTTCTATAACTTGGCTATTGTAAATAATCCTGCAGTGAATATAGGGGTGCATGTATCTTTTCAAATTTGTATTTTCATATTCTTTGGGTAAATGCCCACTAGTGGAATTACTAGATCATGGGGTGGTAATTATTTTTAATTTTTGGAGGAACCTCCATATTGTTTTCCACAGTGGCTGCACCAGTTTGCATCTGCTTCCTACCAAATGTTTCCTACCATACAACAAGATTATTTTTCTCTACATCTATGCCAATAATTGTTTCTTTTTGTTGATTTTCACAATTCTGACAGATATGAGGTAATATCTCATTATGGTTTTAATTTGCATTTTCCCAATGATGAGTGATATTGAGCATCTTTTCTTGTGTCTGTTTGCATCTGTATGTCTTCTTTGTAGAAATACCTGGTTCATGTCATCTGCCCATTTTTAATTATATGATTTGTTTTTGTGTGTGTTGTAGAAGTTCTTTCTATATTTTAGATATTAACCCTTTATCAAATATGTCATCTGCAAATATTTTCTCCTATTTTGTAGGTTGTCTTTTAGTTTTCTTGATTATTTCCTTTGCTGTGCCAAAGCTTTTCATTTTGATGGAGTCCCAATAATTTATTTTTGCTTTTGTTTCCCTTGCCTCAATAAACAGATCTAAAAAAATGTTGCTACAGCTGATATCAGAGACATTACTACTTGTGCTCTTTTTTAGGATTTTATGGTTTCAGCTCTTACATTTAAGTCCTTAATTGATTTTGAGTTTATTTTTGTGTATGGTGTAAGAACGTGGTACAGTTTGATTCTTTGGCATGTAGCTGTCTGGTTTTCCCAGCATTATTTGTTGAAGAGACTGTCTTCTTCCCATTGCATGTTCTTGCCTTTGTCAAAGATTGACTATATAATCATGAGTTTATTTCTGAGCTCTTTATTCTGTTCCATTGATCTATATGTCTGTTTTTGTGTCAGTTCCATACTGTTTTGGTTACTATAGCTTTGTAGCATATTTGAATCTAAGATCCATATCTTGAAACCTCTCACCCCCTCCCTGGTTTGCCATATTCACGCTGTCTCATGATTTCCTTGATTGGCTCTGTTGTAAATCCTGTGAGGTCATATGTATCTGGACACCGTTTTCTCCAGCAGGAATTTATTGTTTGAGGTTTGATGGCTTTTTCTGTAAAAACTATGGCCTTATTAAAGTATACACTACCATTAATTTTATGCAATTATTATTTAATACCGCATCTTTATGTTTGTTTATATTTCTTTCAGCTGTGAATGGCACCATATACAATCGGTGTGTGTAAATTCTGATAAATTTTAACTTTCTGTAATTTGTGTGTATTTTATGGTAGCAAATGATAAAATAGTATCTACATATATTGTATGCATTCATGAAATACCTAGCTTTTTCTTAATGGCTTAAAATATTTCTAGGCTATGTAATTCAACTTTTGAGTTTTTTCAAATTGTTGCAAATCTTCAAAAAAAATTGTATTTTTTGTATTTATTTTAAAAAATCCACATATAAGTGGACCTGCAGAGTTCAAACCTATATTGTTCAAGGATTAACTGTATATACCACATTTTCTTTATCCATTCATCCATCAGGGAACATTTAGGTTGCTTCCATGTCTTGGCTATTGTGAATATTACTGCAGTGAGCATGGGCATACAGATATCTCTTCAAGATCCTGATTTCATTTCCTTTGGCTATATATTCAAAAGTAGGATTGCTGTATCATATGGTAGTTTCATTCTTCAGTTTCTGAGGAGCTTTCATATACTTTTCCATAGTGGCTGTAACAATTATATTCCTACCTACAGTATACAAGGGCTCCCTTTCTCCACATCCTCTGTACATACCTTGCTCTTGCTTTTTGGATAATCGCCATCCTAACAGGTGTGAGGTGTGATTTTAATTTAGCTCAACAATTTTTTAAGTGTGCTATAATCCCATGGTCTGTTTTTGCTTTTGTTGCCTGTGTTTTTGGTATCATATATAGGAAGTCATTGCCAAGGCCAGTGTCAGGAAGCCTTTTCTCTGTTTTTTTTCTGAGAGTTTTATGGTTTTGTTTTTATTGTTGTTTTTTAAGTTTTATTTATTTAAGCAATCTCCACACCCAGTATGCGTCTTGAACTCATGATCCCAAGATCAGTTGTCACACGCTCCTTCAACTGAGTTGCCCAGGCAACCCCCCCGTAGTTTTGGTTCTTGTGTTTAAGTCTTAAATCTATTTTGAGTTGACTTTTTGCGTATGATATGAGTCCAGTTTCATTCTTTTGCTTGTGAATATCCAGTTTTCTCAGCAGCATTAATTCAAGAGACTGTCCTTTCCCCATTGTTTATTCTTGGTACCCTTGTCGAAGATCAGTTGACCATATCTGCATGGATTTATTTCTGGACTCTGTTCTCTTCTGTTGGTCTCTGTCTGTTTTTATGCCAGTACAATACTGTTTTGATTAATCTAGCTTTATAATGTATTTTGAAGTCAAAGTGTAATGCCCCCCATCTCTGTTCTTCTTATTCAAAATTTCTTTGACTATTTGGAGTCCTTTGTGTTTCCTATGAATTTTAAGATTGTTTTCTATTTCTGTAAAAAATGCCATTGGAATTTTCATCGGTATTGTATTGAATCTTTAGATTGCTTTGGGTACAATAGACATTATAACAATATTAATTCTCCAATCTGTGAACATGAGTATCTTTCCATTTAGTTATGTCAGCTTTAATTTTTTTAGTGTTTTATAGTTTTCAGTGTACAAGTCTTTCACCTCCTTGGTTAAGTTTATTACTAAGTATTTTATTCTTTTTGATACTACTGTAAATGGGATTATTTTCTTAATTTTTTAAACTTTAAAATTTAAACTGTTCTCTGGGTTATGTAAGTATTATATTTGCTATATAATTATATTACTAGTATTATAAATATACTATATATTATAGTTCTATTGTAGTTAGGTGTTACATAAAATTATCTCATTTGATCTCTATATAATATATATTGCAATATTATCATATTATTATAGTTATATGTTATTATATTATAATAATATATATTATTTCATTTGATCTTTGCAACCATAGAGTAAGGTATTCAGGATAAAACATCACTTGATGGAATTTGTTTGTTTTAGTACTAGAGTTGTTAGCTTTGGTGGCCTAACTTAGAAGTTCCTTTTTTTTTTTTTTTTTTTTTTTTTACTTAGAAATTTCTAAATGATGTAATTTCCTAGGCTAAACAAGTAATTGTAAAACAATATGCCTTTAGAGTGAAGGTTGATGTCATTTTTGTTTCATTTGAAGTTTTTTTGTCATATGATCAAGAATAAGGCTATTTCTATATTTTAACAGTGCTAATTTTATACCTCCAGTTTAGTCCAGTGTTTCTCAAATGAAAGCTCTTGGTAAACACCAGGAAGGTCATTTATATATACGTAAGTTATAAAACTCCAGGCAAATGATAGATGGCAGTATTGTTAAATATAGGTCATATGAGTCAGTAACTTAGCCTCTCCACCTTCAAAACCACGTCCTTCTATTTCTTCTCTCTTTTATGTTAAAAATCTATGCTCATGTCAAGAAGGATGGAAGAGAAAAGGAAAGAGGATAGTTTTTGTTTGCTATCATTGCTAAAAACAATGATAGAAGTGGAGATTTGATGGAGTCATGAGAAAATTATTTTTGAAATCTGTTGTTTAACTACAAACCTAAATAAAACAGATTGTTGAAATGGTGAAAGTTTTTAATATAATTTTTAGAATATTACTGATATTTGAAATGATCAGAGGCACCAGAGTAAATATTTGAGTCAGTCTGAGGTAGAGAATAGTGAGGATTAAGATTGCATTTACCTTAAAACCACTTATCCAGGTAACTCATAATCCGTATTTTGTCCTTTTTTCCCCTCTTGCAGCATCATCACCAGGCAGGAGTCCAAAACATGGCAGTTTTTCAGATGGTATAACATGTCTTATTTTCTTTTAGTTGTACTTTTCTTTGGTCTCAACTTTGTGCCATAAGTTTCACTACTTCCATTAAATAATTTGAGTCAAATACTTTAAGGCTTTTTCATAAAACAAATGTATGAAGAGTATCCTTTATACTCTTGACACCATGACATGCTGTGAATAATTATGACAGAAATAACTCTTGAGTCTCAAGGAGCTGTCAGTCTAATGGGCACTTAGATCTGCTTTTTCTTCCGTTTCTGTCTGATTTCTGCCTTATATTCTCTTGGTGGAATTTGTATTTTCTTCCTCTGTTGGAAATACTTAAATTCTGAACCAGAAATTGATAGTCTTTATTACTCCTATCATTAGATGACAGCATTCAGAAATCAGAGCTTGGAAACAGGTCTCCGTCAACCTCCAGCCAACGTAAGTTTGTTCAGTTTTTATTAAGTGAGTTTTTAAAATTGGTCATTCTTAATTGTTTTAATTTTTTTGACAGCAAAAAACAAAAACAGTGCTATCTGAAGAATTGTACTGTAAGCACTTAAGAGGAAAAAGTACATATTTTACTAGCAGTGAAATTCTTTAAGGACAAACTATATGAAACAATATCTGGTTTTCCCCTTCACTTATTTATCCGTAAGTCCAAAAGTAAGTTAATAAGCAGAACTACTAATACTAATAACCAGGCGAACCTTGCTGAGTCAAAAGAAAGATGGCACATAACATGATGTAATAGGATTACCATGGGTTTGAGAGTCCGCAGACCTGTATTTGGATTAGATTGGACCACTTAACATAACCTCCTGTTAGAGCCTTGCAGCAAGTTTCTGTAATTCTCTAAGCCTATATATTATCCTTAGTGAATAAGAAGAAAATAACTTCACAGTCAATCTCACTTTGGTCTCAAAACTACTTTCTACTAGCAAAATTAATAAATACCTTAAAGAGCTTTTTTAAAAAAAAAATATGGGCTATACCTATCCATATTTACCTAGAAATTAAAGTTGAAAAATTGTAAAAATACCTATTTACTTTTAAATAATTTAGTAAGAATAGTGACAAATTGCTTATATTTTCTAATCTCTTTAATGTCTAGCTTAATAAAACAGAGCTGGATTCTCATATCTGCTTCTGTAGTCATCCTGTTACAGTATATAGTTTTGGTTGTGGTATATGTAAAACTCTAGCTTTATACAGATAATGTAGTTTTTAACAGTCTAAAGATAATTTTGGATATTCTCTTTTGATACTGTCCAAAATTCAACAAGTTACTTAAAATGTAAGATCTGAAACTATATTAATGAACTTTTTGTGTTTTGTTACATTAAAATTCAGTGGTCTTTCTTGTACTTTGAATGGAATATCATGCACTGATCATTTGGAAAATACTGGTTCACTAAGTTATGAAGATCTTCCAAATGTTGACACATTTGTCAAATAGAATAAAAGATCACATTTGTTGATATCACCACCAATCTCAAAACAAAACGTCTTGAAGGATTTGGGAGCTGTCAAGCTTATAGTGGCGGATACAATATTTCCATAATCCTAATTCTTACTTTAAACTCTGAATTTTCGGGGCACCTGGGTGGCTCAGTGGTTGAATGTGCCTTTGGCTCAGGTCGTGATCCCGGGGTCCCGGGATCGAGTACCGCATCGGGCTCCCTGCATGGAGTCTGCTTCTCCCTCTGCCTATGTCTCTGCCTCTCTCTCTGTGTGTCTCTCATGAATAAATAAATAAAATCTTTTTTTAAAGTTTTTTTTAAAAATTATAAATTTTATAATTGACAAAAAATATTGTCAGTTGTTTTCCTAGAAACAACAGACTCATTTTGTTCATTTTCAAGAAAATGTCTGCCAAATACTCAAGTCTGACTAACCATAGTTTGTCACTTGTTAAAAGTACTAGTTCAGCTCGACTCAGTTGCACAAAATTCTTTTCCTTGAGAAAACTGTGATTTGCTAGGCTTCAGAAGTGCTTTATGTATATTTCCCAGTTCTTCATATATTCCATTTGAGATTTGTACTCAAGGGTTGAATTTTAATAAGATGAATAATTTTAACTGCTTGATGAAGCAGTTTCACTGATAACTTTAAATTCTTGGCTATGAATACAAAGACTACATTAGCACTGTCCTGTGATTCTAAGTCATCAGTTGCTTTTCCCACCATGGCTTTGCACCATCAATCCAATGCAATGAAAATGATAGGAAAAATCAGTAAATCTTAGTGTTATGAGAATAGTTTTAACTTCAAGGACCCTCTTGGAAGGATCTTGAGGCACCCACCAATCACACTTTGAGAACTATTCCTCTAAAAGGTCCATGGTACAGGGCAGCCCCGGTGGCTCAGCGGTTTAGCGCCACCTTCGGCCCGGGGCGTGATCTTGGAGACGTGGGATCCAGTCCCACGTCAAGCTCCCTGCATGGAGCCTGCTTCTCCCTTCTCCCTCTGCCTGTGTCTCTGCCTCTCTCTCTCTCTCTCTCTCTCTCTCGTGTGTGTGTGTGTGTGTGTGTCTCATGAATAAATAAATTAAATATTTAAAAAAATAAAAATAAAAAATTCTAAATCTTTTTTTAAAAGTCCATAGTACAAATAAAATAGAAAGTATAAAAGTATTATTGTTGCTATCCTACTAAATGAAGTGGTACATGAGAAAGTGCTTATAAACTGAAAAGCACTAGATAAATGTAAATTGATATCATTATTGCCAATAATAATTAGAGATGAGTTGCGAGCTTGATTTTACTAGTGTTAGCTTGCATTCCACAGAAGAATGGACATCAGTGCAACTAAAGGGACAGCTACCTCCATATATTATATGGATGATGTTCACTTAGAGTGCATCCTTTTTTAATCCCTCTGTATACTTCAGAAACACTCCACCTTGGATAATAACCTGTATGAATTCTGAATGTCTAAATTAAAAAATATTTTATCGGGCAGCCCTGGTGGCCCAGCGGTTTAGCGCCGCCTTCGGCCCAGGCCTGATCCTGGAGACCCAAGATCGAGTCCTGCGTCGGGCTCCCTGCATGGATCCTGCTTCTCCCTCTGCCCGTGTGTCTGCCTCTCTCTGTCTCTCTCTCTCTCTCTCTCTCTCTGCCTCTCATGAATAAATAAATAAAGTAAAAAATAAATATTTTATCAATTGACCTTTTTATTGTTTACCTCCCAGATACTAGCAGTGGTAATGATAGTTTTGCTTTATAGATTATATATTATTTCTGACTTGCTTTGACACTTCATATATTTAAATTCTACTTTTTCCTCTAAGGCTTTTTATCATCTTGCCATTGAAGAGACACATACACCTAAAACCTATGGATGTGAAATTTTCTTAAATACATGTGAAGAACATTTCTTTAAGATAGTAAATTACCAGCTCCACTCTTTAAATTCCTTCCTCTCTTATCTAATATTTCTGAAGATTAATACTGATTTTAAAAGTCACTTGTTCTTGAATCTACGAAAATGGTATTTGAATCTGTTTGTTTGTTTGTTTGTTTGTTTGTTTGTTTCCTGAGCAGAAGTGACTGGACAACCCAAAAGTGCATCCTTTATCAAGATAAAGTGGTGGTGGCTAGCTGTTCTGATAGCTGCTTTTGTTCTTGGGAGTTTTTTGTACACTACTACTCCTGAGGTAGAAACCACTGCTGTTCAAGAATTCCAGAACCAGATGAAACAACTTATGAGTAAGTATCAAGGTCAAGATGAGAAACTGTGGAGAAGGAGCCTTACATTCCTTGAAAAACATCTTAATAGCTCCCAACCTCGGCCTCAGCCTGCCATCTTGCTGCTCACTGCTGCTCGAGATGCTGAAGAAGCACTTAGGTGTCTGAGCGAACAAATTGCGGATGCCTACTCTTCTTTCCGTAGTGTCCGTGCCATCCGGATTGATGGGGCGGGCAAAGCTACTCAAGACAGTGATATTGTCAAACAAGAGGTAGATTGGGAACTGAGCAACGGCTTCAAGAATGGCCAGAATGCAGCTGTGGTACACCGCTTTGAGTCACTGCCTGCAGGCTCTACTTTGATCTTCTATAAATATTGTGACCATGAAAATGCAGCCTTCAAAGATGTAGCCTTAGTCCTGACTGTCTTGTTGGAGGAAGACACACTGGGAACCAGTCTAGGCCTAAAGGAAATTGAGGAAAAAGTGAGAGATTTTCTCAAAGTCAAGTTCACCAACTCTGACACACCCAACTCCTACAAACATATGGACCCAGACAAATTAAGTGGACTCTGGAGCCGTATTTCTCACTTGGTCCTGCCTGTCCAACCTGAAAATGCCCTGAAAAGTGGCATCTGCTTATAAAGAGTGACAAAGGACAAAAATCATGTCTCAAGTTCTAAAAATTTTTCAGACTTTCTAACCAGCAACAGGATTCAGGGCTCTTTTTGAAAGAACTGTTTGTTTTTTTAAAGGAAGTTCTTATGTAAACATGGAATATCTAAATCATTTATTCAACTTAATTATCTGTTACTTGAGAGAATCATTTCCCTGTTTCCACTGAGATCTGTGTTAATGGTCTCTGAGGACTGTAAATCATATGCAGTCCCATAGAGGATCTGTTTAGATTCGGGGTTTGAGTCATTATTGCTATGGTATGACCAGACCAGGGTTGGGGGGTATTGGGCTCCTTCCTATGAATCCTCCCAATTTTTTAAGTTAGATTTTTCACAGAGTTTGCTATTAGTAAGACAGCTTTCTAAATACAGCCATGGGTTTTCCCATTTTGTTTTCTTTTACATCATTTAGGTGTAGATTCCTTACCTTCCCCTTACAGGAACAAGAGTAATGAAAGGTCATCTGAGTGTGTGTTTGGATTTTTTTTTCTTTGTTTTTGGAGGTCTGGAGAAGGAGTCAAGGGAAGAGAGAAATTGTGGAATGAGGAGGAAAGGGGGAAGAAGTCTTCAAGATGAAATTTAAAATAAGCCACTGAGACTTAGGTCACTCGAGCATAGCCATATGAACTCTATTCTCAGTGAATTCTATTGGGATTTGTTTTTCACATGTCCTTGTTTTCCTTTAAGAAATTTTTGGTCCTCCCAAGGATTTTGAAGCATGTATATTATAAGGTTTAACATATTTGTTCATTTGACTCTGAAGGGTGTGGTCAATTCAGAGCATTTTATTTTGGACATATCCTAAAGCCTTTGTTTTAAATTCAGAAATATAGTTGCCAGAATTGGTAAACCATTGGTCAACCAGCTTTCCTGGACTGTCAAAGAAGGATTTGATTTTCTACGTGCAGTTTTAAAGTCTTTTAATGACGCTCTTATGACAAATGTAAAGATTCACTGTGCACATGATGAATCTTATTAAGAGTGTCTCAAGCCAAAAAGAAAGTGAACTTTACCATATGTGAAGAATGTCGAAATGTACTATTGTGCATTCCTGTACTACTGTTGCATTTCAAGTGTCACCTTGCTTCTGTAATTAAGCTTTCTCATTTATCGATTGCTTGGTTTTTCTTAATATCTTAAGATTCCAGATCCACCTTGTTTTGTTTTGTTTTTATTGTCTACAAACCTTCAAGTGAAAATACTGGTTTTAGAATACTAGAGGCAGTCATTGGCTTTATCATTTACCTTTTGAGGATCCCATGCCTGATAGTGTGGAGTGTGGTCTGGTTTCTTCCAACTAGGACAACCAGTATTCATAAATTGATACCCTTTATTGAAACTTGCTCCTGACTATCAGGAGTCAGGCCATCTGATTTATAGATGATTCTAAAACAAGAGTTTTTGAAAAAGCTTATTTTATACACATATATTATATGGAGAAACAAATGTTTTTATTAAATGTTTCTCTGACCAAAATAATTTTAAAGAAATAAATGTTACTTATATCTTTCAGGAAAAATAATTGTAGCAGGTGATCTGTAAATGACTTTAGAAGCTTATTTTAGTAATTTAAATAAACTTACTTTCTTGGTTTGTATTCTGTGTGTTGTAAACTTAATGATTCATAGTCCTTTTTTTCCCAGTTAATCCTAGAATTTTTCTTTACACTTGAACAATTCTAGTAACTTCTGAGAAAAACAAAGGCCAAAGAATTGGAGCCATTCACAAGTATATTGGTTAAAAATATAATTACCACGCTTTTCTGTTTCATGCAGGTATTTTGAATTATTATATTGGAATTAATTTAGATTTTCTTGACTTGGCAAAAGAATCTATCTACAGCATTGTTTCTCAAATTTTGCCTTCTCACCTCGCTAAAGAGCCTTTTTAGATATTTTTTCCCTAATTGTACTCCCTTGAAATTCTAATACCACACATATACTATATATCTGTTTACTATATATCTTTTTGTCCTTTAAACATAAGAAGAATAAGATTTTTTGCCTTCTAAGAACCAATATTTGTCCCCACTGAGAACACATGCTCAAGAACATCTGTATTGTATCTATTTGCCTTTTTTTAAAGATTTTATTTATTTATGAGAGAGATCACGAGCAATGGAGAGGGGTAAGGAAAAGAAGATTCCCCTCTGAGCAGGGAGCCCAATGCAGGACTTGATCCCACAACCCTGGAATCGTAACCTAAGCCAAAGTCAGACACTTAACCAACTGAGCCACTCAGGCACCCAAGAACATCTGTATTTTTTATCACTGCTGCCTGAAACATTCTATTTTCTGTTTATGTTATTATCCTTTTGAAAGGGAAATTTTAATAAGTCATGAGCTTGAAAATAGAAACTAGGGTTTATAGAAATTAGGTATATTGTAACTTTAGGTGGTAACACTGGTCCAGGGAAAACCACAACGCAGTACTAGTCTTACAGATTTCTAGAAACTTAATTTGCTTCCCTTCTTCTAATGACATATTTAGGGAAGTTTTCTAAACCTCCCATTCTCAAAACAAAGATTGGAAGTAAACTTGATTTTCATTCTATGAAGAGAACTGTAACTTGTTTGCATAGTTCATGCCATTAGTTTATACCTAAAGGTATAAAATCCAGTTTCCCTTTGATCTTAGGTCTTTGGAAAGTGGCTTTATTGTTTTATTTTAAAGATTTCATTTATTCATGAAAGACACAGAGAGAGGCAAAGACATAAGCAGAGAGAGAAGCAAGCTCCATGCAGGGAATCCTATGTGGGACTCAATCCCTGGATTCTAGGATCATGCCCTGAGCTGAAGGCAGACGCTCAATGGCTGAGCCACGCAGGCGTCCCGGAAAGTGGCCTTTATGTTGGCGATGTAAGGAAGCATTTCTATTGAATGGATAATGGATTATCCTGCTATATTGTCTTCATCAAGGTCATAGAGTAAGATTTTATGAGGATTCTACTGGCATTAGCCACCTGGGAAGAAGATAATAGTCCTGAGTAGGAAAACAAGGTAAGAATGTTGCCATCAGCTAAAAGAAAACTGCAATGAAGATCTTTCTTTGTCCTGGATTCAGAAAAGTCCTGGGTGCTTGCAGGCTTCTGGGGATTGTAGGGAAGATAGCCTGTCACCTGAGCAGAACTAGGCAGAAACCACCCCTCACCATTGACATATTGTGCCCTCCTCTTTTGCACATTCTTAGATACTTCTGGAATATTTCCTCCTTTCTTGCCCCCCCCCCTTCCCCAGTTTTATGCTCTGCTCTTCTTATTTGTCTATTCTTCAGGGCTCAGTTTCTTAGGCAGAACTTCTCTGAAACCTTCACTAGTTTCTTTCCCCCAATACTGATTTATATGCCCCGTTTTTATGCTCTCATTCATCGTGTGTACCCTGACAGTAGTTAGCACACTCCACATTACCATACACCTCTTGAGAGCAAGAGAGTGTCATCAGTATATGCACAAGTATATGCACAAGTATATGCACCATATAGACTGCTCAAACATTTGTCAAAAACTGTACCTTGTTAGCTAAAATAAGTAAGTTGCATCTTCCTACCTTACTTGCATTTTCTGTTATTCCTGAGCCTTTTTCTGAAGCTATCTATTCAGCCTCAATTCAGTAGTGCTATGAGTGATTTAAGGAAGAGGACGAATGCCATGGGATACTGGTTTTTTTCTGGTGGAAGCAAGGATTATTAGTGAGGGATCCCTAAGGGGAAGGTGAGTGGTAAGAGAGAAAACTGGGAGGCCATGAAGTCTTTATGCTGAGATTTGGAATTCGAGTTTTCTTCGAAAAGCTAAGTTTCCTTACATCTTTTCATATTGCCTAAGAGGGTAGTATCATCCAAATAAGAGATGGAGAGAAGATGGATAAGAAAAAATATTGAGGTAGAAATAACAAATGTGGTTAATTGAATATGTAATGTTAAGAGAAAATACCTCATAGAGGACTTTTCAAAATGCTGTACTGCTAAAAAATACCTCTTCATTGAATTTAGCTCAGATCTTCTGTCCCCCAAATACTAAGTACACAGTGGTAGACTAAACTCTTATCTCTGCATGTCTTTGTTGACTTTTAGCAGTTTGAAGTAGAGATAGACACGTATTTAGTCAGGAATTGTTTGATTGTAAAATACCCTGTCTAACCAGAAGAGGAAAGGAGGGGAAGGGTGGGTGTTGTAAGAATGCATTTCAGCCTCCATGACAGGAGACTGGGAACGAGTGGACTGCTGATGACAGCTCAGCCGCCATTCCCTCTGCTTCTACTTCTGGCTTGCTTCACCTTAGGAACCTTGCTGTTGTGACTTAACCACACCCAGAGGGTGAACTTGACTGGCTCAACCCAGTGTATGGATGATCCCTGAAAATAGGTCACTCCTTTAAAAGGGGCCACAGGATGGGGCTGGGGAATGGCATTCTCCTGAAGCCAGGCCAAGAAGTGGGCAGATCTGGTTAAGGGACAACTAAAAATATCTTCAAATTTATAAAGACCTTTCTATGACATGATGCTGGTTATTTCATTTTCACTTTAAAAAATGAAATAAAAGATGATGGAAACATTGTGAAAAGTTTAAAATCTGGGTCTTGATCATGGCTCTGTCTAGATAAAATTGACCTAAGCAATTCCTTTGTGTAGCTCTGCTACAAATGTGTTCTCATTTCTTCCCACTGCTTCTGCGTTTTTTATGCTGAAAAAGAACATTTACCAAAACTTCAGGTACTACATTAATATATAATGGCTATTATTAGTGATAAGTCCCTCAAAAGAACACTGAACTTTCTTTAGTTTTCAGGCTATGTCTTGGGCAAGTGCGGTGGTAGGAGACTATGTACCTGATTCAAATTTGATATTTTGAGCTCCTCCCACCCTCACCTCAATTTTAGAGCGTACCATTCTTAGGCTAAACTTGAGAATCGACTCCATGCTATGTAGCCCTTTACAGAGAATATTCACTGTAGTTATTCTTGATGGGCAATTTAAAAAAAAAATAAATCTCTCAGTTTAAGTGGACTTAACTCTCATTTTGTCTACCATATAGATGGAAAATATCTACATGAAAGTCTTTATATTTGAATATGTATTATCTGTCACCCTTTCTTATATTTTGTCAGCTACTTACTATTTATTATTGCTCCCAACACAGTTTCAAGTGCTTCCCATGTATTAACAGGCTCAAGTCTTACGATAACCCTGTGACATAGCACTGCTATCCCAATTTAATAGACAGGAAGCTGAAGCACAGAAAGGTAAAGTGACACTCAAGCATATTCAAGTAAGAAGTGATGAAGCAGAGATTGGAATTCAAGCAGTCTGGCATTAAAACATCTACTGTCAACCACTATGTACATAGTCTCTAGAACCCCCAAATATGGTACTTCTCCCCAACCTCCAAGTTGAAATGTTTTTCTATTTTGTAGGTCCTTATTGTGGCTCTCCTTTAGGCCCCTGTCTTTCCTCCTTGCCCAGCTTTGTGGAATCCAATATTGCACACACTAAGAGTCTGAAGAATTTTGAGTAGGGTGAGACAGTCATCACAGTCCTACCTGTTGACTCATCGTTGCTTACACTGGCATCATGCTTCTGTAACTGAAGACCTGCAGTGTAGACTCACAGTTGATCTGTTTTGAAATCCCTAAATGTGACCTAGGTGTTAGCTATCCCTGCATACTTCTGTGTTTGCCCTCTCTCAGTTTTGATGCAAAACGGCACCTCTTTGAATTGCTGAAAAAGAGTCCGTTTGCATAAAAAACATTGGTAACCATCCAGAAAGAGAGGGGAAAGTATGATTAAACCCAACCCCTACAGTCTGGAGTCTGAAGCCTGAGCCCAAATCCCAGTTCCACACCTTTCTCAATGACATGGGCAAATTACTTTGCTTCTCTCTGACAGTTTCCTCATCTCTAAAATGGGGAAAATTATGTAAATACTATCTTATAGTGTTGTTGTGATGATTAAGTCGGTTGATCTATGCAAAGCACTTAGAAAGTACTGAGGACACCAAAGGGTACAATGTTAGCCATTTTTGTTCACTTAAATTCTTACTATCAATTCTCTCTTCTCTGTGACATCAACTGACTGGCTTCTATTTTCACCTTCCTAAGCGACCCTTATGCATAGTACTTGGGCTTTTTCCTAGGTTACACCTTCATTACAAACCCCAACCCATCACAGTTCATTAAAGGGCTTCTAGTTACCAGAATCCATCCTCTCTAAGAATCTGAGGGATTCTAAAGAATGGGAAAGCTTTCTGTAACACAGAACCCCCCTTCTCCTATGGCTTGTTCAGCTTCACTGTCCTACTTTTATCCTTAAAGACCTAACTTTTATTCAAGAAATTGTAATTGGTTGAGATGATTTTCCAAGATCTACCCAGTATTGAATGAAAGATGTACCATCTAGATCCACTTCAAGGAAGACTGTGTTGCCCCAAATGCTGGCCATGTGGGTCAGTGAACAGCTGTCACTATTACCTATTACCTACTTCATGGATTACTTCACCTGCAGAGAGTCATTTTGCCCAAAGTCATGCCAGGTTATGGGGAGAGCAGTACGTATCCGATGACTGATAAAGAGAATATAA